TTTAACAGTGTTAGTGGATATCTGTAGAGCAGGGTGGCCAATATAATACCAATATTTATATAATGTAATAATATCAAATGGCAAGTTATAGAAAATCTGTCTTCATATTAAACAAATGGTCAGTTTATTAATATGCCTGGTCTCTCTCTCTCTATTTATAGCCTAATAATCTAATAATTAAGGCACAACTGGAAGTTGAAGTCTAGTGCATTTCAAATGTATCCATTTAACTGCGACAGAGGAACTACAGCTGTGATTGTGGTTGCAAATGTTATCAGGCTGCCCTTCTTTATTGGGTTTAAAAACAAAGAAGAAATATATTATTTTAAATTATAATATTTGACAGTATTACTGTTAAAGTGTTTCTGATCAAATACATGCAGCCTTGGTGAACATAAGGGGCTTTTTTCAGAAGCATTAAAAAAATCTGCAGTGTCTTATATAATGTGCATGTATGAATTTATCAACTCATTATTCATGTTCTCTTGCTTTTGATTCTTTTACAGCTGTTATGGGAGCAACAACAACTACAGTTGTAACCACTCAATATCCTCAGCATCCTGTCGTTCAGGGAGGTCAGTACCCGCCATACCAGCCCATGCCGCCTCAGGCCGGGTACGGCGGCACACCAGCTTATGGTGGACAACCCATGCCGACGGGACCATATCAGGGCCAGCCATATGCAGCGGGACCACCACCCCCATATCAGGAGACTGGTAAGATAATATGACCTTGCACAACAAAAAGTCCAGTCAGCCTGGCTATTTACAAATGTAAGTACTGTGAATGTTGACATTTTAATGCACTTTTTATTTGGCAATAATGTGTCATTACATAGTTTTGCAATCCTTCATTGTCTCATGACTCATGAGTCATGAGTATGACGGTGTTAAGACCGTTCAGAATGTTTCTGTGAATCAATTCAAAATGATTAATTTGCATTGCCACTGGAAAATGTTGCCTGTGACACTTGATTTATTCAAGCGTTTTAGTAAAAATATGTT